GAGTTCTTTACACTCCGAGTATAGTCTCATCCACGAATATTCTCACGGCGTCTGAAAATTGCTCAATGCTTGTAGAGGAAAGACGACCACGTTTTGCTTACTTTTAGTTAATACACAAAGTTAAAAATTATAAAAAGTATCATGCTTGTGTTTCACAGTGGATCCTCGTAGCTACTCCAACAATGCTGCAGGGAAGGTGCATATTGTGGACGTCAAATGCAATAATCCCAAGTTTATCTGCAGTTTTTATAAGATATTTTTTCACGGCAGTTGTTTAAGGATTTGGTTCAACTTGAAACCAACAAATTTTAGTAGCACAAACATCCTCATTTACGCAGTACATTACTTGTCTGTTGAACACAATGCACTTATAATATTTTTATCTTTTGGGAAACTGAAAATTTATATCTTTTATTAAAAAAAGGACTAAGGCAAGAAAGTTTTGATGAGCTATTAGTAAAATTATAATCTACATTACTAGTGCTTTCCATCTTAGAGTTTTGTTTTACATAGTTATCCCACATGACTATAATATTTCAGTCCCTTTGCTTTTCCTATAATTAGTACTCCTTTGCCATTTCAGTGAGTTTTAGCTGTCAGAGGATTTTGTCCGGTCACGCTAATTCTCTTAGTTGGCTGCCGAACCCATGTTCGCACAAGTTCCAGTGTGATAATAACAACGACTTCTGGAGTAAAGGAACGTGAAAGGGAAATACAAGCCATAGCATAAACAGATTGTTTGACCATGGAAAGCGTGTGCCTGTTTTTACTTCGCATTCTATTATCGACACAATTCTACGCATTTTACTACTAGTTTTTTAATTAAAAGTTGGGGCCATAATTTCTGACTTCTTAGTGCTGCGTGATTCAAGTCCTTTTATTTTGGAAAATAAATTGTTGAAATGCAACAGCATTTCGATTTAGACTGGTGTTGATGATGTTTTCAATGAGGCCGTTCTGATCACCGTCGGTAGAAAATCAAAAATTTGCCGTTCAGCAATGCAAAATGAGACTTTTGTTTTCCTGGTACCGAAAGATATGTGAATAGGAGTATCAGGCGGGTGCATACTCCCATATCTTTGTATAATGAAAACCAACAGATTCAATCGGGTCAGTTTTTGAAGACGGACAATACTTGTTCGGCTTTCCACCCACAAGCCTTGGTTTCCCACTAAATATTTACTGTTCCATTGTTCCGCCACAAGTACTTTACCTACCTACATATTTGCAACCCCATCAGCTGTTGCACCTATCGGATCTCAAACATTAAGCGGCAGGTGATGTCTAAATGAGCTATTTATTTGGACAAGTATATTCTGGAGCACATTAAATTTCCGATGACACAGGAAACGATCAACAAAGAGGAGCAGGTAGTCTGATGGCCTATAAATAACAGGGATGAGGAGGAGGGAAAAAGTAGAATGGAATACATGGAAGAAAAATATGGTAATGTTAAAAGGCACTGATATTAGACTGTTTTCCTCCACACACTATTTCCATGAGCGCACAAATGCGCCGCAACCTCACTCTAGCTTAGTGCCCTTTTCCGGAAGCTCACCCTCCTTCTTCTCGTCCATTCCTTCCCCATCAATCTTGGATCCAGTGGATGCAGAGGAGTGCGTTGCATGAGGGACATCCCCGCCAACGTCTCATAGAAGAGTATATAGGCCTGTAGTGGGAGTAAAAGGTAAAGAACATCATATCAGGATTTAATCCCCCTCCTGTCTTAGCCAAACAATTTCCGCACCCAGCGATCCTGATCACTGGAAAAGGGGACCAGGTCGGCGTATCAGCCGGAGCTGAGGATCCACTCAATTGCAATGGCGCCTTCAACGCCACCCTCGATCTAGTACCGGTAGGTCACATAGTGACCCGAGTACAGAGTATTGCCATGGTGCGCAACTATAGAGCGCAGAATGTAACGAAGGGATCTGTCAAGACGATAGTTTAATTAAATGTGCACCCAGACGCGAGACAAGGCCAGTGATCAAGGTCAGCGGAGGTGACAGATTCGGTGTATTTGGACATCATGCCGCCGGCGGTAAGGCTGCCCACATGGCTATCCGCTCTGGAAGCGTTTTGCTACAGTGGTACCCACACAGCACGCTGAATGTAGATGACAATAGGTGACTTTGTTGTTATTATTGTTGTTGCTGCCATGGCGGTAAAGTAATCGACCGACGACAGGTTCTTGGCGAGGCAACGGATGGAGCTGCAAGCTGACACCAGCACTGACGGGTGGTTCACCATTGCCATACGACACTGAGGACAATGGATTCCGGTGAGACACTGCTGTACAAAACTCACCACTCAGCCAAGTCTCCATCGAACAACGGTACGCCGCCTTTTCTTTGGACGACACTTTCTTCATGTGCAGTCGTCGCGACGTTTCTACCATCAAAGAACTAACCTAAAATTATTCAATTAAAAGGAATAAAAGAGACGTTTTTGTTTTAACTCACTGGGAAAGGGGATAGTGCAGGACTAGAGGACAAGCTGCAATTTACCATGGTAAGAACATTTGATACAAAAAACTGGGATGTGAAAAATCGATGAAAGGAGTTGGATACGAAACTGGTCAAAGTGCTGTACTCCATCAGTAATGGTGGTGGCAACAGCGACAGCAGCAGACGTATCACCATTGGCAGAGATAGACGGAAAGGGAAGAAGACGGCAGACTGTGAGCAGACCCTTAACACCTCACAGAACCGTCTCTCCAGTCCGCTATCTTCCATTTGGTCCATAGAAGAGGCATATAACTCGTGGACGTCCTACAGCGAAATACACACTACTTGCAACCTTCAATTCGGTGGATTTAACGCTGCCTACCTTCATTCTTTCGTCACTAGCACTCCACTTCCACCGTTCTTCGCATCTAGTTTAATTAAAACTATCAAGTTTCGTTTATCAGGTCAATTAGTTTGCATGGATGTGCTGAAGGGCGCCACAAAAGGTTTTGGAGAAAATTTCGTGGGAAG